AACGCCGTGTTCTGTTGGTCGTGTAAGCATCTTTTGCGCGCAATTACTACACAGGAAAATAAAAACGAAACGATATATGATGATAAATTGAGAGATTTTAAACCAGCTAACAGATTTCATATTTAAAAAAAAAATCACAAAATTTATTTTAAAGTATATTAAATAATAAACGACAAAATGTAAATATTAAATTGCAAAAAATAATGAAACATTTTTAATACGGAAAATATTTGTATATATAAAACCTGTATTTTTTTTCAATTAGAGATAAAAACAGAATCGTTTTAGTATTCTTGTCATCAAAAATCTATATAAATAATGCAAAATCAATCAAGTTTATTTCATGCTGTTAAGTTTTTATCTGTGTGTTGGCAATTAATGGGCAGCATGTGCTGACCAAGTGGTTAGTGGTTAGTCTTGAAATGCGATTCTCGCCGACTCGTCCGAGTGGATTTTTCTCAGCCAAGTTCTACGATTTTCCCCTCCCCCAATTGCCGATTCAATCCGCATCCCAATAACAACTGACATTGACCGCCTGCATCGCCGGCCGGCTAAGTTCGAAAAGTTTGAAAACCTCAACTTAAAGCTGAGTCATCATCATTATAGCAGCATTGCCATCAGGCCCGAAGCCGCTGGCCAGATTCTTTTCGGCCAAGTCAAGTGCAATCGAATTGCAAATGAAGACAAATGAAGTGGCTGGCTTGCAACGCCAAGGTTGCCTCGCCTCAATGCGGAAAAACATGACAAGAAGGTGGGGAGCTACTAAAAAAAAAAAGAGAAATAAAACAGCAAATAGAAATAGAGACACAGACAAAACTGTCATTAAAATGTAACATAAAAAGCAGCTAATTGCGAACATTTAGTTATGTATGCAAGCTGCTGAAACGACCTCATAAATAACCGACACGACAACTGTCATTGTGAAAATTCAACACCCTCAACTTGCAGATTGCTGGCGAAATATCAAAGGTTGCTAGAATACTTACTTTAAAAAAAAACTTGGAGTTACGGATATTAATTCAATTTTAATGATCTTGTGTTTAGAAGTTTTGTCCATAAAGAAATTTGCATTTTTAAAGAATGACTGATAATTTTATTTATATTTATCTGTAAATAAAAAAATGCATTGATTTTTATCTAGTTTTTTCCCCTTTCCATTTTAAAGAAAGTTTTTTTTGCGAGTGGGTTTTTGTTTGAAAACGAGACATTGACACCCAAAGGTCACATTTTAGCCACAGAGTGAAGAAAATCGCCACAAAATCCACTGAATTATAAGCCGAACCCCCGAAAGCAATTCCATCCAACCTGTTGTGAAAGTGGCGAATGGCGCTTGCAGTTTTTGATTTGGAAATTTATGAGGTGCAGAGGAAAAGCTGAATAGGTGGACACGAAACACAACCCACGACCCGATCTGTGTTTACACGCATGCGCCGCTGTAAGTGCCAACAAAGTGCCGGAAAATTTCATGCCGCCGCTGATGAGTTGCCACAGGAGATGGGGACCTGGAAAACTCGGGGGCTGGGTGTTGGACTGTAGGCCGACGAGACTGCAAAATGGGGAGTGCCCCAGAGCCTCGAAATTGGGGAAAATGGGATAAGGAATGAAATTAATATCATGAGCGGAGTGTCATGAGTGATCGAGGAGCTTGCCGGCGAAAAACTAATGTGCGATTTGGTGAATATTTGTGGGATGCCTAATCTTTTGCACGCATTTATTAAACGAAAATCGTGTTGTGAAATAAATGAAAGGGAATTTATGATTGCTAAATGATTAATTTTCTTTATTTACGATCCGTTTCAATGATCTTGTAGTGTAGCAGACTATCGGAATAAAGCCAGTGTTGTATAATCATTAATGATTCAGTATACATACACATCTCAGCCAGTGTTGGAAAAACATTGTCTATACTTGTTTTCCCACAGTCCCATCAACTTTTTTGTCGCCTTGATTGAAGAGTCGTCTCCTCTTGGGATCGCCACTCGGCATTTTTTTGCTGCACTTACAGCGATCGTTTATCGTGCGCCAGGCTTTATTTTTTTATTTTATTTATCTTTTTTTCGGTGGGGTGCGATAAGTGGGCCTACCCAAAAGATGATGGCGATGATGATAATGATTATGATGGACGCATTGAGGCGGCCATTTAACGCCCACTTAGACACGCTTCCCATTGCTCCATTACTCATTGCAACACACACAGCTACAGATACAGATACAATAACAATGTGTTAATTATACGGCTGACGCCCACGTCGCAATCAGATACAATCGTACATATAATCAGACACAATGAAACGGAGGAGGGGGGTTTGGTCTGAAAACTGAAAAATTAAAGAAGAGCCGTGGAGAAAAACTCGCACTGACGATGACGATGACGATCGCAATGTGCAATTTTGTTGTAAGTGACTAAACAGACATGCTCATGTCATGGTGATCGCACACAGATACGGTTATATATATAAAAAAAATATGTGTATACACTTGAACACACACCCAGGGATTTTTGCTGTGGGCACGACGCGCTCAATTTAACGCATACGCCCCATTGTACCATCGACATGGACATCTACCTAAACATCTACATCAGCATCGTTATCGTCATCAGGGTCATGTTACGGGTACCTCCATATACACATATATATATATATATATATATCTGCCTCGCTTTTATTTCGCTAGTTTACTCCATTTTTCCATTGACTGACTTTATTGCGCTTTGTCTTTTTGGCACTTTCATAATTTGCAAACAGAAAAAGAAAGAAAATAGTGAGCAAGGCAACATTAATTGGATAGTGAGTGAAACAATTGCCACAGGTCTTACTTTGTATACCGTTGGTTAAGCTTAACATAGAATGGTTCAGTAAACGAAAACTCAAATAAGGTGACTTAAGTACCAGCAATCTTAGGAAATTTGTTTTCAATTTCAAACCATTTTTGATTATCTCTTATTGCTGTTAATATACATCGTAGTGCCTGAGTAATGTCACCTTCAATTTAACAAGTTAATTCAGATTCACAGAGCTTTACGTACTTGCTTACTCTAAACGTAAACATCAAAAAGTGGACACATTAAACTTGCTCCCATTTTAATCACTTATGCATGTGCATTAAGTTGTTGATATTATTCACGATTATTTTTTAACGAAAGTTTAAGAATCCAAAATCGTGTTTAGAGGACAACACTCTGGACGACTATACAAATAAATAACAAGACAAACAAAAGCTTTTAAAATGGTCAAAGGGCCAGAGAGAAAGTCGTTTTATTTGCTGTGATTAACAATTCGATACCATTTCATTTTTGTTTGCCTGTGGCTCAAAATTTGATGATTGATGAACCATGGACCGACACTTCAAATCGCCGACAATTGAGTTGAGCTGTTCGACAATTTTGTATCATTCGATATACAAAATTGATGGATGCAGAGAAAAAATTCTGTTCAGCATTAATAATGTGACATTTCTGATTTTAATCTATTGTGAACTTTTATTATTCTAAGAAATACAGATTTTAACCCTGGGCATTATCTTAAAATTTTAAAAATACTAAACCACAAAATGTTTGCTTATGAATCAAATTGATATTTCATTTTCATACAATTTTCTTTCCGTGTGACTTTTCCCAAATTTGTTGTGGGTGTCCTGTGTACGTGATCGATTATCCAGCAGCAAATCGGGGCAATTTCGTAAATTAGCCGAATCGTGCCACCAAATATCCCCCTCAAATAAATAATAAAGTAATCTATACTTACCACACGACATATCGGCGTGTGTTTGACCCATTTCTGGCAGCAAGTCACTATCAAAAGCCAAAAATCGACCAGACTCATTGCTTTGAGCCAAGAGTCGACGAAACCCAATTACACTTAACAAACTCATTATGTTCGGCATTTGCCAGTCGAAAAGCGAAAAATAAAAATAAAAAAACTACCAGCGGGTGTTGGGACAAAAACAAAAAAATAGCATGCAGGAAAACTCTGAAAAATTCCAAATAAGCAAAAAAAAAAAAAAAAACAAAAAACGACTACTTACAAGCAGCAAAAACAATTGTGTTGAAACGAAAATCGCATACGAGTATGAAAAGTCTTTTGGCTGATGAGGGTGGGGTCCTAAATATATAGTATTATGTAGAGGCGATCGGGAGCTGCAGGGGCCAAAAAACATTTATGCCTAGAACACAAGCCAAAGCACACAAAATTTATGCCAGCTGCCTGGCTCACATTATTATCGACTTTTATCGATACGACATTTGACTGCCCAGCCAGACCCGAAAAAAATAAAAAAAAAGAAACATAAACAAAAACAAAAAAAAAACAGACCTCAAAGACCAAAACTCTGGCCAAAACCAGAGTGTAATTGAGTTGGCATACGACTTCGCATCGCGTTAAACGAAATCTGGCCCAAAAATCCAGTGGCCACGAAATGAAATGGTTGAAAGATGCAGATATTGAAGGCGTCAGAATTTGGGCCAATGCAAAAGTATTTATCGCATATTAAAACTATTAACCCACTGTTTAATTACCAAAAAAAAATAATAATATGAAATTATTAAATTTTTAATGGTTTTAAGCTGGCAAAATAATGGGGTTTCCTCAGTTTAACATTTGTAGCTTCCATCAGCTTGCGGAACATTTTTTTTTCACAATTTGAGTTTTAGTTTCTTGGTCCTAAAATATTTGTTTGCTAACTTAAAGAGAAAATGAGTAAAGGGATGTTTGTAGTTGTGGTAAATTAAAATCCAAGTTTTTGCTACTTGATATTGAGGGGTTTCCTGTGCCACATTTGCAAGAGGAAATGTCATCTTCTGCCGCATTTCCTGCTCCATCGAGTGATCTTTAAAACTCGAGACTCATGTACGGCAACACATTTCACCACTCGATGTCTGAACATCGCACAAGGGCTCCTCACAAACACAAAACTCGAAACACCGCGAAGCTCTTACATGTTTTGAGTGGATTTCTTTGACTGATTTTCTGATTTCTCCTCTTCTTTTGGTTATTTTTCAGCCGAATTCCCGGAGGAGGACAGCGACATGCTGATGGAGCCAAATGATTTTTCGCCAATCACAGTACTTCGATCGCACGAGCAACACTTCCATATGCCGCCGACCACGCAACTCCAGCCGCAAATTCAGACCAGAATTCAGCCCAGAGCTCAGCCCAGGCAATTTCAATCGGCGGCGGCCCAACATAACAATCCCGATGAGGAGGACCAATTTCGACCCATTGCCAATCCAAATACAAAGATAGTAGGCGACTCGCATACGCAGGCTGCTCAGAACTTCTATCCACCGTTCTACCACGAGGCGCCGCCATTGGGCCACTCGAGGCCCTACTTTGGACATGGTCCTCCGGTTTCGGTTTCGGAAAGTACTCCTCTATCGCTGCCCTTGCCGCTCTTGGCACCCCAACAGCAGCCACAGTTGGCCACTCAGCAGCGCAACTTTGATGCCAGTATTTTAGGGAGCGGAGACTTTGGTGTCCTCAGAGGGGGAACCTTCTATCCGGAGGAGGAAATGCCCTATCATCCCGAGGACAATAGCGATTATATCTATGGCGATGCCAACAATGGACATGGTCGTCCCTCGGAAGGATTTGTACAGAAGTACACCTATCCGGAGGAACAGTTTGCCAATTTCCGGGATTTTGCGGACATTAATACACCCGCCGATTCGGCATTTTCGCAATTCGTGGTGGTATATGCGGCCAAGAATGCCACGGCACCGCATTCACATCCGCATCCCAAAAACATATTCGAGCAGCTGGAGCTGCTGGACAGGGAAAAAGAGTTGGAAAAGTCCAAGTCCCAGTCGCAGTCGCAGCCCAAAAACTCATCCAAAAACAAGTCGAAATTGTCGAAGACAAAGCTGCAGAAGAAATACCGCAAGAAGGCGGGTCCCAAAATACAGGATCCCCTGGAAATAGAGCCCTTATTGGCCCTCAGTTAAGTTTCTTTAAAAGCGAGAAAAAACTAAAAAAAAAAAAAAAAAAAAACAAAAGCAACTAAAATACAAACACCCATCACCACTTTCGTTTTCCCTTGTTAGTTTTATTTATTTTATTTCGAGATGAATGCAAGCCGCCACCACAAAAAAAGAGCCACCCTTTATCTTAATGTTCATTTCCACAAAACACCTGTATTGCAAAAATCTTTACCATTCTATATATTAAATATCAGTGTTTTTTTTTTGGTCTGTCTGCTTTTTGTCTCGCATCGTTTGTTAATTCTTAAACTTAGCCCGTAGTCTACTTTATCTATATATATATACATACATATATATAGATATATATATGTGTCTTTATGTCTTATACGCGTATCTAATGTAATTATTTTTTGTCTAACTGAGCATAATTTTATTATGTGTGTGTACATAAAACGAGAAAAGTTAAATGTAATTTTAAATTTAAATAAAAACGAAATAAAAATAAAAGTACGCATTTTTTTTGGTTTAAAGTCTGCCTTTATTGAGCCATAAATGTGAGGTTTTTTATACATGGTAAGTAAATTGCTTTAAGGTGTCTCGTATTTTGCATACAAGGCATTTAGCAAAGTGGTAAATGATCCCGCTGTGCGAAATATCTATTAAAAAAATATAAGGAAATAATTATAAATTACATGGATTTGTGAGAAAAAAATATATTTTAATACTAAAATGCAAATAGAAATGTGAAAAAATAATGAAATGCTCACCCAAACGAGTAAAGGTCTTCCAAGTTCGAAAAAATATGCACCCAGAACAGTTTCGCGTTGGGCACGTTGAAGTGGAAATATTAAAAGTCTTCGATGTTGTGGCGAAAGTTTTTGCCATGGAATCACTTCGTACAGTTGCCTGGAAAATCCTTCAGCCTCCAGACGCACCTGTTCCGCTCCGAAAAGGTAAATGCACAGCTGTGTGGTGACCACCATCGAAAAGAAGCCAAGAAAGGCGAAATTCTGGTCGGTATGTGGCATTATAAATTGGCAAATCACGGCGCAATAAAGCACACAAATAACTAAAATCTCTACAAACGCAATCTCCATAAAGCTGACATTAAAATGTTTAACCAATTTCAAGAGACGAGCATGTTCGGCAAAAAACGAACTTAAACCCAAATCAGAACCCAAGAAATCTGAGGGCTGCTGAGCCCATTTCAATTGCAGACCAAGGCGACGGTACTGGGAACTCAAGCCCAAGGCACACCATCCATATAAGGTATCCACTCCGGTGGTGGAGCAGCAAAAGAAGCTCAGCACGAATATCATCAGGCAGCAGTCCATGGCATAAATATTCGGTTGGGTTACGTCGTATGGAAGTCTGCGATTAGAAGGTAAATATATTTAAATATATGTTGTAACAATAAGAATATAATTATAGACTAAGGATATAAATGTAGAGCATTAAATTGTACAAGTAGAAAATATAAATAGAAGAATTATAAAATGTACGTTCTAAAAACAAAAAATATATTGTTAAAGTAGTATAAATATAAAGTTTTATATAAGTAGTTCTAAGTTCTAAGTAGTATTCTAAGAATAACGGATTAAATTAGTTAACTCATTGAGTAATAAGAAGTGAAAAAGTACTTTTAATATTAATATTCTTATTAAACTATAAATGGCAAAAAAAATGAAACGGATGTGCAATGGTTTCACACAATAGTCAATTCTGGTCAGAGTTTTAAAAGAAATTGAATGCTTATTTAACATATTATAATTTACATTGTTACAATTAAATCTTTATAAATAACTCACATCACCCGAAAAGAGCTGACTGGTGCGAAATCGCCCGTGGAGTAATATTTAATCATGGTCAAAGCCACTGGCATCAGCAGAAAGGAGACACTCGTTCCAGCACACATCATGAAGTAAACGGCGGCCATCAGTTGTCCCCAGCGATTCTGGGATCGCCATTCCGAAACTCCTAGATCACCGCGATTCATGAAAGGAGCCTGAATTAGTTGAACGAGGGCCACCAGGTCGTGGGATTTGGCCAAGAATATGGCCATCTTCAGCAGCGAGGAGATCATCTGTAAGCCATGCATCAAGGCCTCGGAACAGAGCACGATTTGGTTGCGATGTTGGACCATAAAAGCGCACACGGTGCAGAGTTCAAAGCCGGTGGCCAGAAACATAATGCCATAAAGAACCGGAGTCTGCAGAACTTTGCCCTTTTTGGGCTGCAAATTCAAACCCATGCAGGCAAAGGTGATGCGCTGCGTCCACAGATTCCCCAGCAACACTTCGATTAGCTTTGACATTTCGCCTTAAACTGAGGGCTGGGAAATCAAGAATGATTTCCGATCAAAGTATATTTGAAAAATTGTTGGTGGGCGGGCTAAGTAAAACTTTGGACAAAACTCTGTCGCCTAATTGGACTCTTAAATACAAGTTAATTTAACGCCCCGGACAAGCGGCAGAGAAACTTGGCTAAGTGAAACTGGTCGGCCTGGCCAGCAAATGATTTAATTATACGCCCCGGGCGACCGTCCGTCTGAACCACCCAGCACCACCGCCAAACGCACCACTCACACTCAACACGGTGGTGCAAGAATATAATTATCAACCACAAACATATATGTTCTCTTTTTATGCTTAAACTAATAATGAGAGTTTATCGCATTAGGTTAAGAAATAATCGTTATATTTATTTATTACTTAATTCTCATCAAGCTTAATAATTTTAATTATTATCAGCTTAATAGTCATTTAATTATCTGTTTGAAATATTTTTTTATGACTGTAAAAAGTGTAAATTTTCTGGATTGTAATTGTTACTGTAATAACATCTTAGTAATTTGATTGATTGATTTAAGTATATTTTAATAGATTTTGTAAATAGTAGTAGTTTTAAGTGTAAATGTTAATGTTAATTACGGGTTTAAACTTTCTATTCTTTAATTAATTTAAATTAGGTTTTGGCTTTGTACATTAAAAAAAGACTATAATTTACCATAATTATTTCCTCGTTTTCTTTACCTTTAACTGATTTTATGGGTTTTTCGTACCACTTTTCCCAGCCTTTTATGGCTGCACTTTTTGGCCCCACTGTGCCCCGTTCGTCATGGTTAACGGTAACGCTTTGCTGCTGGTCTTACCAATTTTTTTTTTTTTATATATCCATATGCGAGTCGTATATTTCTTTCTACGACCGCTGCAGTCATGGTCATTGTCCGCTAGCGGTTCTTGTTGCTGTGGGCTGATTCAACCGAGTTTTCTGCTGGTCTTGCATTGCGTTTGTTTATCTATTCCCGACTTCGGCATATGTTTTGACATTTGGAGGCTGGCACTTAATTTACGGCCTCACCTTAGTTCCCCCAGTCATTTTTATTTACCCACTTACATACGCGATATATGAATGCCAAAGTCGAAGAGAGGGAGAGATCTGTTTTGCAGTGCGTAATGGCCATGCATCTGGTCTAAGTATTTTAATTAACTGAGAAAACTAATTACAAAAATTCCCTGGCACGCCTCCAGACTGACAGAAATTCAATTAAGCGGCAATTGCCGCCCATTGCAGATCGTGGGAAATATTTAAACATCTAAATACAGATCTGAAAAAGCAAACAAAGAATTTATTTGATCACTGAGCCAATAAATAAGTGACAGTTGCAACTTACTAAGCAAACACAGTAATAAAAAAAAATCTTTAACTTACATGGTAAATTTGCCATTAAATCATCTGCAAATTACCATCTTCATCGCAAAGCCCACGCTGCGTATGCTTGATGTGCGGCATTTAAGCAATTTGCTAATTAATGGGTTTGGCCAGCGATTCAAATCAATCGGATTCGACTTGCAAATGCCTTAATTAATTAATATGCATAATAAACGGCAATTATGGCTGTGGGAAAGGTGTGCAAATGATAAATGGCAAACTTATGAACTGCACTCGGCAAAATGATAAACCTCAAAACAAAAAAATGGGTTTTTATACAATTTATGCTGGAAATGTAAGCAACTTTTTCTTGCTTGTTGTGGAGTTTTTTTCTTAACAAGTGGCAGGGCAAACAAATGTCACATGGAAAACTGACACTCCTCTGTCAACTACTTTTTGAGGCCATTTGTCAACGCGCCCTGCCAAAATAAGCGACTGAAATAAGAAACCGATAATCTGAAAATTCTTTGAGCCCCAAAAAAAAAGAACATAACCAATCCAGACATACAAAAAGCCAGTCGTACACCCACACGATGCAATGTTTTTGTGTTGCCAATAAACGCGGGCCATGAAAATTTGTACATGCCGCGGATTTTGGGGTCTACAAATCTGGCGACAAGCGAAAAATCACCAAAAACCACCTTCAAAAAAAAAAAAACTGAAAGCCAAAAAAAGGTTTACACACTTGGCATCCGTTTGTGGCCTTATTTTCGTGGCGGCATTTTCGGGCTATTTGCGTTTCGTGCCGCTGAAAACTTTATTAATATCCAAATCGTGAGCTTAATTGAAATTTATTGTTAATGAAAACAAAATTATGGCCGGTACACCGAACTATGGCCACTTGACACGAAAGAACAACGCCAGAGAATCCGAAATGAGTTCGAATCGAATACAATCGCCCACCAAAGTCACGAGTTTTTAGAGCCAAAAGAAGGGAGTCGATTTTTAATTTGGCATTTAAGCGCTCATTAAGTTGACAGAATGCGACAGCTGAGTGACAGAAAAGGTGGATATATGGTGGGTGGATATATAGTATGTGGTAATTTGCATGCGGTTTGCAGAACTGGCTAATCTATAAAGTGCCTGCAAATATTCCTAGTGAGCTAGTAAACTTTTCTGATATTTTTCACGTTTAATAAATTGTATGTATGTACTTTTTGTTTATTTTGAATTTAAAAATAATCATTTAAGTGTTATAAGATTATGTGAATTGACTGTTTACCTTATAAAACCCTGGTACAAAAATAGAGTACTTTTCCCAGCTCTGGTTAGTCATGACCAGTGCAGCCTCGAGTTCTTTTTAAGCCCTTTTTTTTTGGTGGGCAAATATTGACAATCGAACTTCTACGAACCCATCATCGACTCAAACTTTTCTTGCCGGCGGCGGCTTCTGTTTGCTTAACCACTTTGAAGTCTGTGGCTTTTCAGCTTTTTAGCTTTTCAGCCTTTTAGCCTTTCACAGTTGCCAACTAATGCAAATAAATTGTGAGCAGTCACCTGTCAAGCGGGCTCATCAAGTCCCTCGGTTTTTCTGCCTTTTTATGCCACCAAAGTGGCAGAAAACCTAGAGGAGACTGCCGTTTTGTGCCGAGGAAGCGATTGTTGTGTGTCCCTCAAACGAAATAATGTTTTAGCGGATGTAACCTGTGCATCCATTGCATAAATGCACTTAAAAAAATAGTTTTTTTTTAATTTTATTACAGATTAGTAATTAGAAAATAAAATATATTATATAATATACAAATGTTGATGAACTACAAGAACTCATTACAATGGGTATTTATTTATAATATTTTCCTAAATGAGGAAAGCATTTTCTTTTGATAATCACAAATACCTATGGAACAGAATTTTATATTATAAATAATTTAAATCTTCGTAAATTTTGAAAAAAATAAATTAAATTATTCTCTTAAAAGGACACACTACTGCAAGCTTTTAAGGATAATTTCGGCATGTATTTTGTTTTTTCAAGTGTTTTTGGACTACCGTTCATTGTTTGCCGTTCTCATTTGGATTTTGCACGGCTTCCTCTCTCCGGCAAACTGTCAATGTTAATGCTGGAAACTTGAAAAATTTCAACAACCGACTCGACTGCGTTGTATTTGTCGTTTTGTAATGATTTTAATGCCAAGCATAAACAATTATTTTCAATTGCATCACATTCTTTTGTTGTTCGTCGGCCGCCATTTGCCATCGTTTGTTTTCGGTTTTCTGTGTTGTCTTCTGTGTTTTTGTTTTTTTTATTTTGTGTTGTTTGCAATTGGAATTGTAGATTTAAGATGTCGCAGATGTTCAGATGACTCGCTGGCTGCAGAAGTTTTTCACATCTGACAGCCCGATGAGTCAGTCACTCAGGCGCGCAGTCAGTCAGTCAATCAGTCAATAGTCATTCGGATACCCGATCGATTGCCAGCATTGAACGATTGAGTCGGCAGCACGTGTCGAGAAAAAAGTGCGTTAGCCAGCTGCACCAAGGCGATTTCTGCTATCAAATTACTAACAAATTAACCAATTTGTATACCATATTACTGTGAGAATACATTTTGTTGAATATTTGTTATTTTTAACAAGATATTTGCCAATTATATTAATAAGACAAATCCTTTGAAAAAATAACAAAACAAAAACTTCAATCAATAAATTTCAACCTGTGATTAACATTTTTAAAATAATATTAAATATTTAATTTTTTTGACATTGACAAAAATATTTAGTTTCGTAGTTTATTATGCTTTTAAATATTTTAATTTTGGAGTATTTTGGATTTATTCGGAATTGCGTCCTTCGCTTCTTAAATATAATATATTTGCTGTTCTCCTTATTCATTATCCCATGCGTTACGCAAATTTTTCATCCCATTCTTCGGAGTGCAACAAAAGGCAGAGGCAACCAAGTGTTAATGGTCATTGTTCAAACAAGCGATCATAATGATTACTCATGTCAATTATTATATAAGACAGATGTCGGCATGCGGCGAAAGCCTCAAAGAGGCAGCAAAAAAAACACGAAAACAAAAACAACGAAACGGAGGCAACCGAACTGCAATTGATTTTGTTGTATAATTTCTACAGCTTTATCTTGTCGGCAGCTGCATGAAATTTATTGAAGATGCGCTGTGCTTTATTGCCATCGCTTTTCGTCGGGGGAATCGCTGCTGTAATTTAGCGACACAGCGACACAGAGGGAATTTCGCAAAACAAAAGACTTAAGGCACGAACTTTGGTTTTATTTCTGCCCAATTTTCTGGGGTTTGCGCCATAAAACTTATCACCTCCGATCTAAATTACTTGAGAGCTTAACTGTCCCATATTTTTTGTTTCATTGCTCAAAAATGTAATGCTTTTGATAGATGGGAAACAAAAAATATTTGAATTCTTATAAACTTACTTATATCTAATAAGTAACAAACGGTGTATTTTAGGGCATTTAAATTATTGCATATTTATTTTAAAATTCTAAATCAAGGAAAGTGTTTGGCATTTTTTTTTGTTCAGTTTTAAAACATGTATTTTTTGTACATTCCCAACTCTTAAGAATTTTAACTAAAATTTGTTTTTACCAAGACATTTGTACTTTTGTACTTTCTACAATGATTTCGGT